CCCCCAACTCAGCACCTATTTTTTGTATGTTGTTCCTTAACGGAGGTGAAAAAGAATGTTAATCCAGATTTATTTGCCCTTATGAGCATTCCTCTGTATTTTGCTTCCTTCATAAACCATTACTGTGCTCTTTTGGCTCCAGATAGAGCTGTTAAGCAGCATCCAGTAGTAACTTTAGTCTGTCACTTGACCTCGTGTGCTCTGCATCCTAGGCAGTTTTCCTAGAATGACTCTTTCAGTTTCTGAGCTGATTTTTGTACCATGTGTACGCTATAGCAGTGATCTCTTTAAAAGATCTGTTTATAAAGGGTCAACTCTTCTTACCATTTCTGTTACCTGAAACTTTGCTGAATGAAAACTCTATAATGAGTGTTATCCTAAGCATATGTCTCTAGGAGGTAATTTCTTACCTGCATTTATGGTAATACTTTAGACTTGTGAAACTCCAGTTGGCTCCTTGTCATTTATATGCAGATAGCCCTTTGGAAAGACTAGAATTTCAGAGGAATGGCAACAGCTCTGTTTGAAAAGCTGATTGCAAATCTTACGCTTGTATACCTTGAGCACTTTAGAAACTATCCTGTTCCAGTACTCCTGAAGCTGTGAGTTTGCATTTTCAAGGCCTGTGCCCATAAAATGTCCTATTGCCCTCTGACAAAATAGTTGCAGAAAAATGTTACTGTTACAGCTATGAATGTACTTCATTTGTTTATGTTTTTTAAAAATTATACTATCTCTCAAAAATGAACTTTGATAAGCCCATACCGTATGAAGTGACTTCTCAAAACATATATTCCCCTAACAAAGGGCTTTGTTATTATGAAACGGAGTTCTTTAGCAGTCAGCTTGCACCTTAATAAGTCATTCAGATAAACAGGTTCCAGTGAAGATTGAATTACGATCCTATTCAGTAGACAGAAAGCAACCACTGGTTCTTCTCAGGAAACTCATAAATAAATCAAAGATCCTGTGCTTCCAGGCCCAAGCCTGACAGAAATGTAAGGATGCATGCTTTACAGTGTGATTTCCCATGTCCTACAAGTACAGCCTTGATGTTGCCATCAGAATTAGATTGGTGCTGATGAAGACATCAAACTTTATGTAAGTAAAGACATTTAAAAATAGTTGGAAATGTGGGGGTATGAGTGGAAGTATCTATCATTCACTCTGAACAATCTGTTAGACAATAACCTCTGATATTTAGCTTGTGCATATAGCGTGCAATTCATACGCCTCGCCATTTTGTGTGTGGAAGGGCACTACCCAAAGTTATTTTTAGAATTCCATTTTAGTGAAAAATACAAGTTTTAAAGTCTTTGGAAGAACTTACTCATGCTTATCATCTGCTGAGGCCAATAAATATGTCAGCTCTTCTCTGTTGTTACATTAGAGTTTTTAGCATGAATTAAAAATCTAGAGTGTGATGTGCTATATACATGTAACAAGACTGATTTCTCTGAGAAGTTCACAGTTTAGCAGGTGATATAAGATTAATAAGACAGAAAAAAGGAGTGGGAGGATGTCATGGAACAACAGTAGTGGGCATGAGAGTAACCTTGGTTTGTTGCCTGGCTGAGTATTACTTAGTTTTCATACTTACTGAAGCAACTGAGAAAAGAGGACAGTTGGATACCTTTTGACAAATGCTTATAGGGAAGCTTTTCTGGGCATAAGGAAGAAGCAAAGAGATGCTTATGTGAAAATGTAGCTATTGAGGGATGAAGGGTTGAACTGCTGGCTGAACAGAGGTGGGAACTGATACCTTGATAGTTTTTAACAGGATGTAGACAAGACAAGATCTAACTGCTGTTTACTGGGTAAGGAAGCTATTGTCATGTTTGCCCTGCTGACTGCACAGTGTAGTGTGTTGGATCCCGAGCACACTACACTATCCAGGCTGCGTTTGAATGTTTCTTTCCTACCCTCTCACAGTGTAGCTGAAATGAAGCCATCTCTGCAAAGATGGGGCTCGTCTGAATTGAATTTGCTGAGCTTAATCAGCAAATCTTTTCTACAATCTTTTATTTTCTAGTTTTTTGAAAGGCAACCCAAATCAAATATTATGGAAAGGTGACTTACTGCTTCACAGCTGTGGTTGCGACATTTATTTCTAAAACTGTTCTTTCAAGAGCTCTAGCATATTTACACACAGTTATTTTGACCTGAATATTGCAAAAAGAGGGATGTGAAGACAGAGCATGTGGTTCAGAGCTGTGAAGACTTTGTGCAAAAGTGAGGACACAGCAAAAGTTCTTAGAGAAATTAACTGCAAAACACTCTCTGTTTTATGTAGGAGTATGTCTATGTGGTGGGCTGACCCTGGCTGGATGCCCGGTGCCCACTAAAGCCACTTTATCACTCCTCTCCTCAGCTGAACAGGGGAGAGAAAATATAACGAAAGGCTCGTGGGTTGACATAAGGACAGGGAGAGCTCACTCACCAATTACAGTCATAGGCAAAGCAGACGTGACTTGAGGAAATAAACTTATTACCAATCAAATCAGAGTAGGGTAATGGGAAAACAAAAGCTAAATCTTAAAACACCTTCCCCTCACCCCTCCATTGTTCCTGGGCTCAACTTTACTCCCAAATTCTCTACCTCTTTCCCCCCAGCAGCACAGGAGGACGGGGAATGGGGGTTGTGGTCAGTTCGTTACCTGCTGTCTCCGCTGCTTCCTTCTCCTCAGAGGGAGGACTCCTCACACTCTTCCTCTGTTCACAAACCTTTTTATAAAGGAATTGGAGAATGTTGGTGAATCTGACTCCGTACAAAAAAAAATTGAAATACCAAACTGAATGATCCCTCTTAATCTAGGGAGCATTGTGAGTTTTGTGGTTGAGCTGGCAAAAAAACCCCCAGGATTTCTAATGGTACTTTCTAAAAGTTTTGCTGGAAGTTTGTTGTTAATATAAAGAGATATAGGGGATTGAGAGCAGCCCTGCGGGGAAGGACTTGGGGGTAGTTGTGGATGGAAAACTGCCTGTGAGCCAGCAACGTGCGCTCGCAGCCCAGAAAGCCAACCGTGTCCTGGGCTGCACCCAGAGCAGTGTGGGCAGCAGGGCGAGGGAGGAGAGGATACCCCCCCTCTACTCTGCTCTCGTGAGACCCCACCTGCAGTCCTGTGTCCAGCTCTGGGGGCACCAACATCAGGAGGACAAGACCTGCTCGAGTGGGTCCAGAGGAGGCCACGAAGATGCTCGGGGGGCTGGAGCACCCCCTGTGAGGACAGGCTGAGAGAGCTGGGGGGTTCAGCTGGAGAAGAGAAGGCTCCGGGGAGACCTTAGAGTGGCCCCCAGGGCTGAAAGGGGCTGCGGGAAAGGGGGGAGGGACTCTTGATCAGGGGTGTAGGGACAGGACAAAGGGTAATGGGTGTAAACTGATTTAGATTAGATTAGATCTAAGGAAGAAATTCTCCCCTGTGCCGGTGGTGAGGCCCTGGCACAGGTGCCCGGAGAAGCTGTGGCTGCCCCCTCCCTGGCAGGGTTCCAGGCCAGGCTGGACGGGGCTTTGGGCAACCTGGGCTAGTGGAAGGTGTCCCTGCCCAGGGCAGGGGGTGGGACTGGATGATCTTTAAGGTGCCTTCCAACCCAAACCACTCTGTGATTCTATGACATTCTGAAAAACTTGCAGACTCTGATAAATGTTAGTTGGAATTTTTCTGCTTAGTTCTGTGTCCCTACATTTTATACAAAAAATACCGAAACTGAATTTAATTTCCTGCAAGGTACCAATGACCACACTATGTCTTATTTTGGAGGTTTATGTTGGACTTTGGTCTTGTTGCCTGCCCTGACAAAATGTTTATTCAGCAAAGCTGAATGTATTAGTTTGAATTATCTTCTATTGTATGTAATGTATACTTAACCATCACTTTCAAGCAACTTTTGGGGGCACATGCAATAAAAAAACATTAATGAAACATGTTGTGTTGGAGGAAGACTAAGTGCTAGTCAGGTAGTACAGATGCAGTCATAGCAAACTCCTCACTTGATTGTTTTGGTTTTTTCTACACAGTTTGGAAATGATCCATCATGTCTGCAGCCTGCAACATCACAGAAAATATTTGATCAGACCCAGTTTTTAGAAGAGACCCAGATTTCTAAGTCTCATGTCACCACCTTAAATCAAGAGCATCATCACTGGCAGTTTTTAGTAAGTCCTGTCTTTGTTTTACTATTTCATGGGAACTTATAAATTTAAAGACAAGTCTAGTTTTGCAGTCTTTTGGTTGGTTGGTTGATTGGATGGGGTTTTTTGTTTGCATGTGCAGTAACATCAAGAGTTGGAGTTTTCTGAGGAGGAATGTTTGAGAGAAGGAGGGTTTATCATCACAGTCTTTATAGAAGTAGATTTTTAATTGTTTTCTTAGGTACTAGCACTTAAATAATATACATATGTACTTGGGACATAATTTAAGCATGAAATGAGAGTTTAATAAACAAAGATGTAAAATAAATAATAATTCCAATGCTTTGTTCTGGATGCATGAATACAAACATGCAGGACCTAGTGCTTAATGGTTATGATCAGCACATTCCAATCTGGTTTGGTGTATACAACCTGACACTTGAATCTGAATGTCAGCAGATTTTTTTCTGATGGGATTTCTATGTGTTTGCACACGTTCTGTTATTTGGGCACCTTTTGTGTTCAGAGAAGAACCTTTTTAGAAGAGTCCTTTGAATATAAAAACTACAGCATAACGTCAGTATACCTGAAGACAACTTCCAGAGAGGAATATGGGTGCCAGTGAGGGGCTTTGAATTTTTCTTTTAGGTAAAATACTTTCACTTAAGTACAAAGACATTTGAATACATAAATGGGCATTAACTTTCGCTTAAGTACAGAGACATTTGAATACATAAAGTTCTATTTCTTTTTAAAATCAGAATTGCCGATGGAACACTACATTTTGATTCCTATAATTAATAGCTGGTTTACCTGTGTTTGCTTTCATTGCACCAAGGAATTGACTTAGTTTTGGACTGTAAAATTATGATGGGTGTAAAAAAAAATATTTTTTTTTTAAACTTGGTAATGAAAACAAAAATATTGTGAAGAAGGAAGACACACTTTTTCAGTTTTTGGAGGAATTAGATTGAACTAATTGTCTTGAGTTGAATTTTGGAGTCAGTTTTCAGTAGTAAACACAGTTTGGTAAGTAGATTTGGGGATCTACCATGTTTATCCTCTAAAAACTTGCCAGTTGCTCGAGATATCGAAGCCATAATTTCATGGTTGTCCTTTTCATAGAAGTGCTTGCTTAACCATTCAGTTAAGCATACTAGTTCTTGAACATACCAGTTCAAGATGGAGTAGTGTAAGTTCTGTTGCTTGACTTCAGATTTACCTGAAACAGAGTTAAATACAAGTTCCAGAACTTCCGTTTAGATATAAATTTCAGGGCTTTCTCCACCTAATGCTGTTTTACAGAGAAATATTCTTTTCAGATGAGGTAGAATAATAACATTACTCTCTAGTGCTAAAACATTTAGTCTTTTTAAAATTCAGTTTACAAAGCAAAACCTTAAAACTGAAATGTGCTCCCTAGATCTCTTTATGTCCCAGCATTGGCAGCCATTGCTCTGAATTCTTGCCAAAGATACAGATGATTTTATTAGTCTCAAGTTACTCTTTATTTTAGCAAATATGTTTACTATGGTGGTACTTCTTCGAGTGATGTGTAAGTAATGATTGTCTTGGACATGTTCTGCAGAAATACAGGGAGCCATGTGTTCGGGTATGATAAAATGAGTATATTACACTTTAGAAAACATTTTTCCTAATGGGTGACTGTAGAGATGGAGCTAAACTCTTTATGGAGATGCACAGTGAAAGCACAAGAGGCAATAGACGCAGTCTCTATCAAGGGAATTCTTATTAGATCTAAGGAAAAAAAAAAATCTTTAAAATTAGGGTGGTCATTTTGCAGAAGGTTATGGAATCTCTTCCCTTGGAGAGATGAAAACCTTGACTGGTGAGCAAACTGATCCAGCCCTGAGCAAACTGATCCAGCTGTGAAGCTGGCCCTGCTTTGAGCAGAAGTTAAACTAGGTGACCTCCAGACTCTTCCAACCTAAATTATCCCGTGATTATATAAACATGAATGCTTACTTACATGCATAAATTTTCCTTATTTATGATTCTTGATTGTACATACTTGTCCTTACAGAATGCCCCCCTTACATTTATAGCGAGTTCAAACAATAGATTCCTGAAAAGTATACAACAGGGAATACTAAAATCATGTTTGGTATTGTATGGTATCCTTCTGTAAACTGTCTTCATGGCTGTAAAAAATATTCTTAAATTCTATAGGAAATGGACTGTATTACTTTTAATGTACGAGGGGCAGAGGAGTTCTAATGTTTATTCTATAAGCATGCTTTATAGCTGTTAACACAGTTTTTTGCACTATGTAGAGTTGATTGCAACTCATTATTGCATAATTGAAGTTATATTTGTATTTAAACAAATAAACCTGATCCCATAACTAGACCTGTATATATAAATATTTACTACTACTGCATATTCTCCCATCTTAAAATAAGCTATTATGCCAGCCTAAAAGCATATATGTTGGGATCTGTGTGAAGAATATGTGCATACTGTAAGTCCTTTAAACCCTTCAGGACTGGCAGGTGTTATGAAAATGATCCTGTGGTTTATTTTCCAGTGATAATGAGTTTTGAGGAGCATATATGTTGGTCAGTTACTTGATCCACATCTCTTGGTGACTGGGTTACAAGATGTAGTTCATATATCACCTTTGATCTTCAAAGCACTTTGCAACCAATAACTAACAGAATAATTTAAAGAAAATTCATAAAAAGATACCATTTTTAAACCTAATGTTCTCACTGTTCTTACATTGTACCTCGCTGAGCTGAAAGTAAAGGCTTAAAGCTTTGCTTTAAGAGCCTCATATTTGAAGCTTGAGGTTCTAAATTTGGTGCTGGATTTATCCATCTGAAGGATATGAGTTTGATTGCATCAGAAGTAATTATATTTAATATGACAAGAGAAAAGTGCATAAATGTGATATTTTGAACGGCTGTTAATGCCTTCTTTGCATCTCTGCTTCTGAAAAGAATAATTACATAGCTGTGATGTGAACTGAATGTTAAGGTCTGGTGAAAGACATTACTGGTAAAAAAAGTCAATATTCTAACGTTGTGTGTAGAAGTTCCCTTAACAGAAGGCATTTGAGGAATTAGGTAGTTGTTTGTAGACCCAGACTCGGTTCACTTATAAAAGACCAACTTGTGGCAAAAAAGAGATGCTGTTGAAATTAGTGGGAATTTTGCTGTTAGTTTCATTCATACAAATAATTGATGGGTTTAGGAAGCATAAAGTTGTGTTGTAAAACAAAAAGCAGTGGTCTGGATTAAGGTCTTGAAAACAAAGTGAAGAAATTATTATTTGCAGGACAGCTTATGGCTGTCCAGTGTGTATCTTTGAGTCCATTCAGAGCCCCTCAGTTTGTCAGTATTTAGGGGGAACACAAGAAATATCAATGGTTGCTGGGCAGTAGCAGCCTTCTGGATAAAGAGGAAACTTTGGACACCCAAACCAGCCTCTATTTAAAATGCTATTCTTTACATAGTATTGTAGTACAGATAGTGAGAGCCCCAGGTACTCTGATGCCAGGATTAAAATTTCCTGACAAAATATTAAATGATGTTTCTTTCATACAGTAGTTACAGTACTTTGAGGCTATATTTTAACTTACTGTCCACTCCTCTTTAATTCTTAATGAATTGCTGCAACTATATCATTAACAATAACTTTTAATCATTTACACTGAAGATCAGAAGAAATAAGTACAGGTCTTCAGTCTGGTACTGTGTGTTTCAGCAGTGGGTTTACTGCAAGAGGAATATCCTGTATTTTAGTAAACAGAGAGCAAATTTTTTATCTATGACAAATGTTCCGTTTGCCTTCTGTCATTAGCTTTCTGTGTACATAAATATAACAGACTTGCACCAGTTACCTGTTAGTTACCAGGCAACAGCAGCATTTGACACTGCCTGCAGCTGCAGTGAATGACGTGCAGCTCCCTGATTGTGAATTAAAGTGCTCTGAATTTTGAACTGAGGTTGATAAAAAGGACATTAGTGTGAGTATAATGCCACTTTTACCGTAGCAGCAACATGTCAGCGGAGTTTCTATAACAACAGCATTTCGCTGAGATATAGCCCTCTATCACATGTTCGTGATGGAAAAATTGTAATTGCTTTAGTCTCTTGCAATACGTAGTTTTCTCTACACGCTGTATTGCGTTTAAGCCTTTTTGCGAAGCAGGAATCTGTCATGCTTCCCAAACATTTGCTTGGATTCGTTGTTTACCGAGGTCAGAACATTAAATGTTTACGATACTAGGCAAAAACTGGGCTGAAAGAAAAAGAAATATTTTTATTTTTGTAACTTGTAAATATTTTGAGTATTGCTTGCTAGTCAGAGATGTTTTGCAGTCTCTTGATGATGGCAGAACAATGAGGCTGGAGAGATATATATGTATAGCATAATAATAAAAAAAAATGAATGCTTCCGATATTTTAATATTTTAAATATTTAGCCTAGATAGCTGGCTCTGTGGAAGAACATTTCTGAGGTTACTTGTCTTTCCTGTGCACTGTGCATGTGTGAGATTTTTAGCAAGGAAAACAACAATATTTATTGCCAAATCCACTATCTGGATTTTGATAATTGCCGGTTAGTCATAATGCCTTTGAATTTTTATAATTTTGGGTCTCTTGAGCATTTTTAAACACATGGCACTCAGTGACAATGAGCTGTTTTAATAGTTTATTTCCCTTGACCATTCCATCTTCAGTTTTCTTCTCCATATCAGTGGAACAACTTATGTAATGTTCTATTTCTAATGTTAGTTTCTAGATTAACTATTGCCTGTGCAAATGTAGACTTCTGGTTTGATTTTTGTTGATACAGTGCCAGTTTAATAAAAGCATTTCCTATCTGCAGGCTGTGAAGAGAACTTCCATCAAAAATAGATCTTAATGTGGTTTTAAATTTTTTTTTTTTTTTTCCTGATCAGAGTTCAAGCAGGTTGTTACATTCCTGAATGAGTGAAAGCAGTAAAAGATATTTAAAGGCTCAAACAATGAGACATGCCCAGTATAAGACTGGAT